TAAAGATGTTTTTTAATTAAAAAAAAAAATCAATGAAAGCACCTCATCTGCGGCACCTGGGCCAATCTTAGTCACATCGTAGATATATCTTAATCTTCAGACTTGTTTGATAGAAATCCTATTTCTATTTTATAACATTTCAGCATACTTGAAGATGAAAAGCTTTCATATGCGAAGCACACATCTCATCCAGCAAAAGCAACGGTAATCTCGAGGTAATTGATTCATTCTTCAATCTACTCTCAACTGTGAAGGAAATTATTGATTTTGCCACATGGAGGTGATTGCCACGACTGGTTGTGTGGGTCAATATTTTTTATTACTAGCATCTTTCATTTATCAGTTGCAATAGATCCATCATTCTATTATTTTCCAAGTCCCGATTGTTTTAAATCCTCTACACAGGACCTGTAATCGGCTAATTATTCCATGTAAGTTCCTTAAACTCATCAGGACGTTGTCCAATCCTCGGAAGCAGGAGATCAAGTTTCAGTACTTTCCATCATTAGCTTATTTGAAATCTGCTCATTTTCTCTTATACCAATGACGATCAATGATAGCGTATAAAAATATAAACCAACAAACAATAGTACTAATATTCATATGGCTGCATATCAATTTCCTAAGGCGTCTGCCTAAGAAGCAGGAATAAAAGGACCACCATTGCTCTTTAACTTATGAATTTGTTATCCGTAATCACAAAAGCCCTCCTGCATATGCACGGACGAATCACTGGTTTCTCTTCACAGCTTCGAGAAACTTCGAGATGAAATCACTAATTAAAGAGAATTAAAACCCTAATATCCCTACAAATCGACAATTTAAAAAATACACCACGACAAAGAAAAGAGGGGATCAAAGACGCGCTGGAGAAGAAAATTCAAACGATACCTGTTTGAGAAGATTATCGGCAATCCGATAATAATAATGGAGGGGTATGCGATTGTCAACCTCCACTTTGCGGGCGACGGTGTTTACGTTGATCTTCATCTTCTCCGGCAAGGAACGCCAGTGCCCCAAAGCTCCAATTAACGATCCTGCGCGTCACGCGTCTCTGTTTCTCTATAAGCGAGAACGGCTCTGAGTCGAAAGAAGGATCAAACAGCAAAGCGTGGGAGTCAAGTCGGAGTGCTGAACCCGTCGTCGTTTCGGAGGAGAAAGCTGCGTCATGGACTCATTAATATGTCGATAATTCACGACATTGTGAGGTAACGGAAATCAAAGAGGTGCTTGACAAGTTTCAAAAATGCTTCTCGGAAATATTTTTTTGTAAAACGAGATAAACTCTTTCACATATTTACTTCATAAATCATAAAAATATTTTTAAAATTATGGTTTGGTTTCTATCCAAACACTTTTTAAAAGTTGAAACCTGCCTGTCATTTTCAGCCGCTTTTTATTTGTTTATTTACTAAAAGGAAAACTTTCTCCATTTTAATTATCATATATATGAAATTAGAAAAATTATGAATACCGGTCGAAAAATGAAATATGAGTAGCTTGAGTAATTTTTTTATTTAAATACCTTCATTTATCACATTGATTAGCCTTAAACTCAATCCTTGTTGATAATAGTTTTAGTATTTCTAAATCCTAATATATTACAAAATACCTCCAGATTTGTACTCCCAGATTAATGATTACACTGCCAAATTGGCAAACTCCTATCAATGTCAATGATCCATGACAACATCGTTGATCAAAAAAGAAAATTCCAATACAACATCCCAAGCTATAAAAGTATACGTATCATGTGAACATGTATGCTAAGAAATTATATTTTGAGTTTTATTCAAAATTAACATTAAAAAAAGTACGCATGTGATCTTTGTGATTTGATTTTTAGTGCGATATCCATGGTCTCTAAACCAATAATGGAATATTAACAATTCACAAACTTATAATTCAATTTACATAAAGTTAAAATTTTGTCACTTTTTTTAAACTAAATTTCACTATTGTAAGTAATCAGGAAAGGAAGGTGTGAAGGGGTCTATATATGAACATGAACAACCTGCTCCAATGGGTCTATATATGAACATGAACAACATGCTCCTATTTTCACTTAAATATAATATCAAGCTGCCTCAACTGTACAGAATTGCCGGGATGCAAATGGAGAGGTTGGGGAGGTTAATTCACATATTAATGTTGAAAATCCGAAACAGAGAGAATGCTGTCAAGCTCCGCAGAACAATTGGATCAATTAAACTAACTTCGATTGTACTACACGAAGCTTTGTTATCTATGACTCTAGTGGATGGTTTGTCTGATGGAGTACCTCAAATGTAAATCTGAATCTCCTTGCTAGCTAAATCAAAACCCCTTTTCATAGTCAAAAGCTTCTGCCACAGAACAAGTGATGACTAAATAACTAGAGTTGTACAGCTTGGGAGGGACCTTCAAAGCCCAAATTGTATTCCCTGAAGCAGAAGCAGAGTGACATGTGAAGTTCCAGTCCTTCCCCTTCCATCACTCAAAGACTTATCCCTTTTAACCTTGAAATTAAAAGACCATTACAACCTTGTACCCATCAAATTAAACAACACGACAGCCTAAAATGGGAATGGATCGAACAACCCGTTTCTCCTCCGCTGTGGATATTGTACTCCCCGGCCGAATAAAAAAAAGAACAATAGTGAAGATCAAATCCATTGCCCAAGTTTGTTTGGCGCAGTTTATTTATGTTGTAACATCTGATCATCTGTGCATGTTTCTTGTGATGTAGCACTTGAAGGTCAAGGTTCATTCTTGAAAAGTGAGTATCTCTTTACACTACTCGACACAAATACCAACAAAGTTAGTCCGGCTCCATAGCCGAGAGCTCAAAAGAAAGCAGATATTTCTACAAAGAAACCAACTGAATGATCTGTTAGTTCCCCCACGGTAAGAAATATGAACTTGTTCCATAAGAGAAGTTTAACTAAACATAAATGGAAAACTTTAATTAGGTTTGATTTACTGAACTCGGGTGAGGATATGTTGGTGGCTTGCCCTTGAACTGCCCCCATCCATCTCAGTCTCATCGCATTACCTTGGGTTTACCCGGCAAATACTCTAACGGGTCTCTCTTTCCAATTAAATTCACCAACCATGCCTTACAGTTTGTGCCAATATATTTATAATAATAACTGAATCATTTTAGCTTTGTCAACAGCCTTCAAAGACATTCTCATTCTCGTTTTTTAAAAGTATTGATTTTGATCATACTATTATATAAACAAAAAGGTTGTGGTAGGTAATATTGTTGGTCGCTCTACATTGAATTAACTTGGAAATCAGTACCTACTTAACTAACCAGACTGCTTACACGGGGAACTCTACCCTTAATTAGCTATATATTGCGATCCCATTGAATACTCCTTTTCATCATGAAGTAAAAGCATATCCCGCACAAGCTTCGATCCATTATGGCATTCCAAGGGAGTGTCAGACTCTGGACTGTAGCTTTACTCCTGCTTAACATCTCTCTGTTCTCTAAAAACTTTGGTACATATCCACAAAATGTTCTGTTTGGTTAATTTGTTCGTTGTTATTTTTGCTGAGATTGATCGATCGGTAATCTTTTGAGTTTGACAGGTATCAAAGCCGACGATGATGCAGGGCCTTGCGAGGACGGATACGGGGGAGCCGGGGGTGGAGCCGGAGGTGGCGGGGCGGGGTTTGGTGGTGCCGCCGGAAATGGAGTTGACTGTGGCAGTGGGGCTGGGTATGGCGGTAGTCCTGGAGGTGGACTTGGAGGAGGAGGTGGTGGTGGTGGCGGTGCCGGGTATGGTGGCGGTCCTGGAGGAGGTGGTGGTGGTGGGGCTGGGTTTGGTGGGGGTCGCGGAGGCGGAATTGGTGGTGGGGCTGGGTTTGGCGGCGGAGGCAGAGGCGGAGTAGCTGACCCTGGAGAAATCGCGTCCGAAGCCCTTCTGTGTTTGCATGATAAATACGTAAGCACGAAAAAAGCGATATTATACGTAATGTTTTGATTTTTGAAGATATTAATAGTGCTTAGAGGTTAAACAATTAGAGTAACTAAGGAGAAATATGTATATAAAAATAATAATGAAACAGCAGATATATAAGAGCTGCGAAGAATCAAGTAGACTGAACGAGAAAGGATACCTGAACGTGCCGCCGGAGAAGACGGAGGAGTTCTGCGAAGGGCCATGCGCGTCGGAGACAAGCTTGGTGCTGAGCTGCATAAAGAACACATTCAGCGACTTCTTGTTCGCCAACAAGGCAACCATAAAGGACGTCGAGGAAACTATCACAGCAGGATGTGGATATGGCCCTGAAAGAGGTAACCTTAATTATATAATTAGCAAATCTAATCACTGTACGTGGTGAGGGGATTAATTAACGATCATATGTGTGTGTGTGTGCGCGCGCGCAGGAGACTTCGATGTGGCAAAGCACATCCAGAATTATGGAGGAATTAACAGGGGAAGCAAAGGCGCCAATAATGTTCAACTTATATGGGTGATTGCCTTCATCTTAACGGGGGCTCTCGCTTTTGTATAAATTTTGATTTTGATGCTGCTCATCACTGCCCAATCAATTCATTTTGGTGTATGCATGGGTGCTATTATCATAATACATGACTGATTATTGTTTGAATCTTGAAAAACACCACTGTTTAAGTTCATTCCCGTTTTCTTATTAATTCTTATTACGCGCTATCATGGAAGGCAATTTAGCAATGTACTAGTACTACACTCTCGAACGGATTGATGACTGCGTCACAAATAATAATAATATGATGGATTGAGAGGCTTTCACAGAAGATAGTCATTTTGTTAATCACTTGTTAAATAAACAAAAGCAAACTCAACAAAAATATCAATCCAAATCAGGAGAAGAATCAACGTTTCTAGTTTCTGAACTTTGAATAACTGAACGGCGGGTTTCTCAGCGACAGAGCATATATCAAGATTTATAATGCCGAATTCCTACTGCCCCCAAAATCATATAAATACTGAACATGACTTCGATTAGAACCTCTGAGATCTATAATGGCGTGCTTCAAGAGCCAATTCTTCACTCTCAAGGGATTCCTCCCCAGAACTCAGCACCCTCTCTGTCGCCCAAGAACCCACATTCTTACCGTCTTCCTTCTTCTCTTACTCTACCTCCTCTCCAGATCATACTCCTATGATTACTCTCCCTCCTCCTCCGCTGCCTCCGCCGTCACCGTCGCTGCTTCTCGCTTCCTTCTTTCTTCCGACGCCTTCTCTTCTGTTACTGCCGCAGAGATATCCCGCGATCCTCCCCTCTCATCCACCGCTCACGAATCCCAAATCATCAGAGACCTTGCTTCTTGCGACATCTTTGATGGAGCTTGGGTTCTTGACCGCCACGCACGACCTCCTTATCCGCCTGGCTCCTGCCCTTTTCTCGACGACGCCTTCAACTGCTTCAAGAATCGACGTCCTGACTCCGATTATCTCGAGTACCGGTGGAAGCCTCGTGGATGTCACATTCCAAGGTCTGAACCTCCTTGCTTATGATCCTATACCTCGCACGTTTGATTTCATTTTCTTGCATTGTATAGGTTCGACGGGCTTAAAATGCTGAGGTTGTTGAGAGGGAAAAGGATGGTGTTTGTTGGGGACTCGCTGAACAGGAACATGTGGCAGTCTCTCGTGTGTTCCTTGAGGGAATCTCTCAAGGATAAAACCAGAGTGTTTCTCGTTTCAGCCCGGCGAGAGTTGAGAACTCAAGGTTTTCATTCCTACAGATTTAAAGTGAGTTATGAAAGCAGCAAATTATTACTATTAATCGCAGCACGCAATCATCTCTCTGATATTTGATTAATTACCATGGCAGGACTATGGATGCTCTATAGACTTTATAAAATCACCATTTCTTGTCCAAGAATGGAAGAATAATTCTTCATATTTTGACGAAGGGCCGCCTCATGGAGAAACTCTGAGGCTTGACATGATGCAGGCATCCAAATCTCAGTACAATGATGCTGATATTATCATATTCAACACGGGCCACTGGTGGAATCACCATAAGACTAGAAATGGGTAGGAATCAGCTCATCCAATTTACTGATTGATATAAATGTACCATGAACCTAGACTCACGAATCAGTATAATTGTTTACTTTCGCAGGAGAAACTATTTTCGAGAAGGAAACCATGTCTACGACAGACTAGATGTGAAGGAAGCACTGGGCAAAGCCCTCAGGACTTGGGCTAAATGGGTGGATTCCAAAGTTGACAGCACGCGCACAAGGGTCTTCTTTACTGGATTCTCAGCTTCTCACTACAGGTAAATTGGCGAATAACCATGAAGGATGAAGTTTTTTTCCCAACAAAATTTCTAAATAAACAAAATTGCAGAGGGGGGCAATGGAAGTCAGGAGGCAAATGCGATGGGGAGAGAGAGCCTATAAAGAACGAGAGCCATGTTGGGGAGTATCCATGGACGATGAGAATATTGGAGAGTGTGATGGCGGACATGAAGACGCCTGTGTTTTACCTTAACATTTCCAGGATGACAGAGTACAGAAAAGATGGCCACCCTTCCTTGTACAGAGGCCCAAGTCCTCCTCCGAGGACCATGGTACAGGATTGCAGCCATTGGTGCCTTCCTGGCATTCCAGATTCCTGGAATCACCTCCTCTATTCAACTCTTCTTCTTCATCATCATCATGATGCTTCTTCCAATTAGACACTTCTCACTTTTCCCAATGCCCAGTACTTTGATGTGTGTCTATTCATCTTCTCTCTGCGCCTTTATTAGCCTAGCAGCATCTCATGCTTGCAACTTCTACGTATAAATTACGTACAAAGCTTTCAACATACCCCAGTATAAATTTCCCCATGTCATGTAAGGACAAACTGTAAGGTAACTTTAAACTCGCATCATATTAACTCTACAATACCACCTCTTATGTTTAATATAAAAACTAATTTGATATATAATTTGATTATAAATATAAGATTTTAATCAATTTTATTTCTTATATTTATTTATTTTTTCCTAAAGTAACCCTTGTATTTACTTGTACATGTTAAAAGTTTTATCAAATAATAGTTATAGCTAATACACATGATTAATAAGGATATTTTAGGAAAGATATCACATACTACCTCCGGTTCTAATTATAAGACATCATTTATAATATACAAATAAGGTCTTATAAATAGAATCGGAGATAATATTTATTACAAATAACTAACTTGACAAATTTTCTTAATCTATTCAAATTAATTAACTAGTTCATATATTAACAATGGAAGTTAGTAAGTCTCAGATACTATCTTTAGTTCTTAATATAAGACCTCGTTTAACTTTTATTTTGGTTCTAAATATAAGACTCCAATTTACTTTGTCTCTCATACTTATTCATTTTTTTCTAAGATAATTCTTTTAATAATGGTAGTTTTAGCTAATAAACTTGATCAGTAAGAATATTTTAAGAAAGACAACACCTATTTATTACAAATAACTGATTTGACTTTTTTTTTATCTACTCAAATTATTCAAATATTTAACATCATTTGTGAATCGCCGACCGACCGAGCAACGCGAGTAATAAGGGAGTCCCCCATGCTACAATGTCATTCGCGTTAAGTAAGGGTCACTTGTCTTCTACTCCCACTTTTGGGCGTTGCTATTAGCACATTATTATATTTTATTGAGGGGGCAACTCTGAGCCAAACTGCCGGCGAGTTGCTTAAAATACACAAGATAGATGTAACCTTGAAAGAAAAAGTTGTTGGCTAAGTTGCCTAAAATCATACATGGACAGAACGCTACCGGATAAGTAAGGAAGAAAACTTAAAAGGAAAACTAATCTGTCAGTTCTTATAATTTTATTGAATTTTGAATCAACTCCTTCTATTTGTTCTCCTTTTTATTCATTTTTTATTGTATGGTCTGTTATCTATTCACATCCTTCCGTTCATGAAACATTAATTTGCCGTTAGTGGAGGCGATGGGGCCATCTTACTCAGCACAAGCATTAACACTTAAAAAAAAAAAATGGACATCAACTTTTTTCTTCGGTTATTCTCCTCCCTGTCCCTCACTCCACTTTCTTCTCTCTCTTCCCCTCCCCCTCCCAGCTCTCAAGGATTTTCCACTGACGATTCGCAACAGCTTTTACTTCTCCAAGCTCATACTTTCCCCCCTTCTTACTCTTCCTCCTCCTCCTCTCTCTCTAAACTTCCCCAAACTCACATCCCCTACATCTCATCTCTCCTCTTCCTTCGTTAATCCCTCCACAATCCTCCACCATTCTATATAATTTATTACACGTACCAAATAAAATGGGCCAAGTGAAAAAAAATTGTAAAATCATTCTTTTTTTAATTGTCTGATGAAATTTTACTTCAATTACGGCTTTGCTTTTGGAGGCTGGGGACCGATTTGTACGGACTAGAGAAGACAAAATAATATTTACTTACTGTGGTCGATGTGGCCAATAATACTGATATGGAGATGAAGTTTCTTCCTCTAGAACATGCCATAAGTAGCTCACATTGTGAAGGAGCGTTGGTGGTGAAAGTATTGAAGAAGCCGTGGGGGAGAAGAATTGAAGATGGAGATGGTTGAAGTCTGAAACACAGGACAGCATTTGTGTCATTTTATTTTCCAATGACTCTCTCTCCTATCGCATTATACCCAGTTCATTCCCAGTGTTTGTGCTTAGTAAGAAAGTCATGTCACCCCACTAACGGCAAATTCATATTTCATAGACTGAAGGACTTCCAAAGGTAACGAAGCATACAATAAGGAGTGGATAAAAGGGCAAAAAAAAAAAATGGAGGGAGCTGATTCAAAATTTGATGAAACTACTGGGACCGACAGATTAGTTTTTCCAAATTAAAATTTAATCTGCGTTTTAGGTGGACTTAAATACAACTTCAAAGGGCCATCGTCCACTATCAGTTGCGTGTATCCGAGTGTTTTGCCAGTTTTCCCAAGATCTCAGCATGGAGCTCTCAGCTCGGAACAACTTCGTAGCACTCATTGTGGGCGTTACTGGACTGACAGGCGTTAGCCTAACCGAAACCTTGAGCCGTCCTGATTGTCTCGGCACCCCCTGGAAAGTTTACGGTGCGGCTCGCCGTCCCCTTCTGCCCTGGTCCCCGCCCTGCCTCCTCCACCATTTCATCACCTTCAACGCCCTGGACACCCAGTGGAGTGGAGGGGAGGGGAGGTTAATTAAAAGAAGAGGAGGTGAAGGGAAGTCATGGGTTTTGTTTGGTTGGAGGGGAGGAGAAAAGAAGGGAGATTTTTTATTTGGTTCATAAAGGGACGGGAGGGGAGGGGAGGGGAGGGGAGGGGATTATAAATTGACAAATATGCCCTTATCTTTATATTTATACTGATTTATTCTTTTATTATAATATTTATATCAAAATTATTATTTCTGAATTTATCAATTTCAAAAAAACCAATTACCTCACTTATATATGATAAAAAAATTATGAAATAAAAATATAATATGTATTAGAAAAGTGAATAGGAGAAAAAAAGACAAAACTTTAACTATATAATAATACCCTCTACATATTAGGAAATAAAAAATATATATGATATTAACAGTGCCATTTTATAATTATAATATATATTAATATATATAATTAATTAATATATTAACATATATACATATTATATTTGTGTGTATATATAACTGAGTGACTGCGGAAGGGAATGCGAAGGTAATCATGATAAACCAAAAAAATATCAAGAGAACACTACTGAAATATTCAAAAAATAACATGGGCATATTTGTCAAGATTCTCATAATATTTTTCTTTCTTCTAAAAACTCTCAATTTGGGAGGGGAGGAAGGGAGGGGAGGGTTTAGCTCCCCTCCCCTCTCCTCCCTTCCTCTCCCCTCAAAAAAACCCCAACCAAACAAAGTCTGAACGGAGCTATGCTAGGCAACGTGCTCAACGTCCTCAGGTCCTCTCCCTCGCCACGGCTCAGCCATAACCGGTACCAAGCACTACATGGGGCCCATTTGCAACCCATTCCATTCTCCCCACCTCGCCTCTCACGACCCGCCCTTCCGCGAGTCCATCCTACGCGCTCGAAGACCTCGTCGCCTCCTACGCGCCGTCCCTCACCTACTCCGTGCACCGTGCCTCCATCATCGTAGGCGCGTCAACAAGGGGCACGCACAACGCTCTGCTTATGCTGGCGGCTTACGCCGCCGTCTGCCGCCACGAAGGGCTGGCGTTCCGGTACCTGGCGAACAGGTACACGCGGGAGCATTTCTGCGACATGACGGACGCAGGGGTGCTGGCGGAGCAACACGTGTGGGCGGCGATGACAGAGAAGGCCAAAAACGAAGCGTTTAATTGCACGAACAGTGATTTCTTCACGTGGAAGACGATGTGGAAGGTGCTTAGCGAGGAGTTTAATGTTGAGTTTGTGGAATATAAGGAAGAAGAGTTTGATATAGTGGAGATGATGAGGAAGAAGGGTGATGTTTGGGAGGAGATAGTGGAGAAGCATGGGCTTTACAAGACGAAGCTGGAGGAGATAGCGAGCTATCTTCCTTTCAAAATTGTGTCAAATTTCAAGTTTCAGCACGTGTCCAGCATGAATAAGGGTAAGGAGTTTGGGTTCTTGGGATTCGCTGGTAGCTTCAGCAGCGTCAAGATGTGGATCGCAAGGCTCAGGCACATGAAAATCATCCCTTGGCCCTACGAGGAAAAAGAACAAAAACAGAAAAGAAGAATAAACGAGATAAGGAGGAAATGGCAGACGAAGGCAAATTAATGAAACGACCGTGCATGTGGGGGCCACTACTGGGTGGGGGCCGTAATGGTGACAATGGTTTTCCGCAGTGGGCGCCCGATGCCCAAGTAATGTCAAATATTTCTGATATAAACGGAGATGTGAGTATATAAAATGATCTGGAAAAACATATTCAGCATAAATTGATATAAACGGAGATGTGAGTATATAATGATTTTCTATCCACTTCCATTAGCTACTTTCTCCTGCATCTTCATTCTCCTTTGACCGTGGGACTTGTTTAACTCACCAAATTATTACATAAACAGAGATACCCGCAGTACCTATCAAATTTAATTGAGAGGAGCATTATTTTTAATTCTATAATGATTTCTCTGGGGCACACATTTGATTTTTTTATTTTAATATTTCAGGTCTGAGGCTTGAGATGACGCAGACATCCAAGTCTCAGTTTCATGATGCTCCTCATCATGCTCAACACGACGAACCACTGATGGATAGAATCACCATAATTAAAGCCGGAAATTATATGGGTGCGGGAAGCAACTAATTAATCCAATTTACTTTTGACTATTCTCATATATAACTAAAAGGTATTATAAACCTAGACTCATGAACGAGCATGGTCGTTAACTTGATTTCAAGGAGGAAGCACCGAGTCCCACCCGCTGCGCTTTCATTCGCCTCGGGGACGGTCATTCTGTCTGCTACTACATCCACTTGGCATATGATAATTGCCAAGATCTGATCTCGCTTTAAAAGGTCTGAAAGGTAAAGTCTCTCTCTCTCTCTGCTCGATTTGATTAAAAAACAAAGGGGAAATCACAAATAAAGACCCTTAAATTAGCAAAATCACTCTATAGTCACATGAATATGCTAAATTATTATGAGGGACCCGGTCTCAAATTGTAATTATAAAATTTAACAACATGTTTTTTTATAACAATTAATTATTTTATACTTTTAAAATTTGAGACCGGGTCCTTCATAGTAATTTAACATATTCAGGTGACCATAGAGTGATTTTGCTAATTTGAGGGTCTTTATTTGTGATTTCCCCAAAAACAAAAGTCATAGACCGACAAAATGCGAATATTTATATATATATATATATATATATAAATAAATGCTTGTGCCGGGGATAAGCACCAAAGTTTAATCTGTGGCCTTAAACGACGCAGCTACCCATTAAAAACCATCATCCTCTCCCACTACTGTGCCGTCGGGTCGTCCTCAGTTCTCAGCATGGAGCCGCAACCTCAACCTCACAACAACTACGTTGCACTCATAATCGGCGTCACCGGATTAACAGGAGTCAGCCTAGCCGAAGCCTTGAGCCGCCCTGATTGTCTCGGTGGCCCTTGGAAAGTTTACGGCGCTGCGCGGCGTCCTCTTCCGGCATGGTTCTCGCCCTCCCTCCTCCACCATTACATTACCTTGGACGCGCTGGACACCGAAGACACACGTGCCAAGCTCTCCCCGATCGCCCATGAGGTCACCCATGTCTTCTGGGTCACCTTCCAGATCCGAGAAGACGAAGAAACCAACGTCGCCATGAACGGGACCATGTTAACCAACGTGCTCAACGTCCTCAGGTCCTCTCCCTCGCCACGGCTCCACCACGTCACCATCCAGACCGGCACCAAGCACTACATGGGCCCCATCAACGACCCGGTCCGTTCTCGCCACCTCGCCTCTCACGACCCACCCTTCCACGAGTCCATGCCCCGCCTCCCTTACCCGAACTTCTACTACGCGCTGGAAGACCTCGTCGCCTCCTACGCACCGCCCCTCACCTACTCCGTGCACCGTGCCTCCATCATCATAGGCGCGTCAACAAGGAGCACACACAACGCTCTGCTTATGCTGGCGGCTTACGCGGCCGTCTGCCGGCACGAAGGGTTGCCGTTTCGGTACCCGGGACGAGGTACACGTGGGAGCATTTCTGCGACATGATAGACGCAGGGGTCCTGGCGGAGCAACACGTGTGGGCGGCGGTGACGCCGCAGGCCAAAAACGAAGCGTTTAATTGCACTAACGGTGATTTCTTTACTTGGAAGAAGATGTGGAAGGTGCTTAGCGAAGAGTTCGATGTTGAGTTCGTGGATTACAAGGAAGAAGACGACTTTGACATAGTAGAGATGATGAGCCATAAGGGTGAGGTCTGGGAGGAGATAGTGGAGAAGCATGGGCTTTACAAGACGAAGCTGGAGGAGATAGCCTGCTATCCTCCGTTCAAAGTGGTGGCGAATTTCAAGTTTCAGCACGTATCCAGTATGAATAAGAGTAAAGAGTTTGGGTTCTTGGGATTCGCTGATAGTTTCAAGAGCGTCAGGAAGTGGGTCGCAAGGCTCAGGCACATGAAAATCATCCCTTAAATTCCTGGGAAGATCGATTCCTAATATTCATAGTTTGTGTTTCTGTTTTCATGTTGAATTTCTGAGAGTGAACTTGATGCCATTAGTTCAAATAAGTAGTAAAAACATGGTCTTGTAGGTTGATTTGTCCCGGGTAACCAGAGATATCGATCTCAAACGAAGCAAAAATCTCCTGAGAGTGGTTCTTTCTGGCAATGAGCAGGAGAAGTAGAAGACGAGTGAAGGTGCCGTAGTGCCTCCTATGAACGAATAAAATCGTGCCATGTGGAAGCCACTCCAAATATGGAATGCGCAGCAGCTGATGTGCCTCTACGCACCGTTTCATCAAAGCTAGGAAGGATCTAGCCGTTTGGTGACGAGCGTTCATGACCGTTCCTTGAGACAAATGATGGTCTTCGCGCGGGCCGCCTAATCTCCTTTTTATTTCCCTCCCTGTTGGTGGTTTTTTTTTTTTTCCCCGTTGTTTCGTTTGTATCCGCAACACGTTGATTTTGGCTTTGTCTTAAATGTCATTACTTAATTAGGTGCTTTATATATAAACCGCAAAGATTAAAAATGAGTGGGTGGAGGCTGAAAAAGCAAAAGGATGGAGTTTATTATAAAAACTAGTAAAAATTGAAACACGGAAGCCCCCAATGGCAGATATACACATGATTTCGTCCACTAAAACCAGAGACTAGCCACGTCATCAACTGCATTCACCAAATCCTTTGACTCCATCTCAAGGCTTCTCTACTCCCCCTGATTGCCATCACAAATTAAACACACATCTTAGTTTACAAATTCCTCAACTATTTATTAACTTTAATTAATCAAATCGAACATAATTGGATCACCAGATTATCTGGGCCAGATGTACAGGCCGGTCTTCTTGGAGGAAGCTGCTGGTGTGGCGTTCTCTGCAAAATTCCAAAAAATAAACAAATATTATTAGGCTAAGAAATATACAATTAAGACTAAGTCATAAAAAGGTTAATATCATTCAAACCTGAAGTTTTGGTCGCAACGTCTCTATGGCTGCTGTGGATTTTTTATTAACTCCGGCACCTTGCTGTTTTTTTTTTAAATATTAGAATTATTATTGATATTTAATAGGGCGGAAAAAAAAAAAATTTAAAAAGGGGGGGAATTTGAGTTTGACCAACGATTGGCTAACCTTGCATAATGCCCAGTCTGCTGAGTCAAAAAATGCCCGCTCGTGATCCTTGACCCAAGAAAAACGATTTAAAAATATTATATTATATTATCAACAAATACGTTGGCGTCACGTGCATGGCACGGGACTTGACAAGTGATAAGGAATGAGAACGTGTGACCGGGCTTACTTTGGAAATTAAAGGCTTCTTCTTGGGGGTAAGGCCACCGTATTTGTTTCCCGTGGACGACGTTTCCTGTCAGCACCAAAATAAACAAATTGAAATACATTACTTTAATAAAAATAATTATTTAACCATCGTGGAGCAGATCCTGTGCTGTGATTTCGAGTTCAATTTTGAAATCATAACGTTCAGCTAATTTGCACATGCTTTGCTTTTTGTCTTTGAACTGTGGAAGAAGGAGAACACGACACAACATCATCAACGTTCTGGAAGTTTTGAAATTAATCTACCCCACCAAAAACCAAACAAAGAAAAGGCAACATAATAATTTGATTTTTCTAAAAGAAAATCTACAACCACTAATCCACCAGGAAAAAAAAAACCTGCATAACAATTAACAAACAATTTTCTTGGGAGAATAACGCAATAAAAAGAATCTATAATATCTACCAAAAAAGGAGACGAACAGCATAATGATTTGATTCTTCCCGTCATGATATTCAATAATTGCAATAATTTTATTTAAATCAAAATCAATTAATGATTTTCTTTGTCCTGTTTCGATAAATTCAGGTGGAGAATTCCAAATTACTTCCTCGACCTCCATGATCATTTACTTGTCCATGGGATTAGGCCAAAACAATACGTGGGCGAGACTTTTATTTATTTTATTCTTTTGTGTTGGAATTTTTCTTAATTGTAATCAAATGTTTGCATCTGACTAATTCCAAGGACTAACCCACAGAAAAAGAAAATCGTTTCGAGAAAGGGGGAAAAATCTTTTAGAATAAAACAATATATTCATTCAATGACACCAAACAAATTCGTGTTGTGCCAAATAAAGTGCGGTGAACGTTTAATAATATTTTAAATGAAATTAGCCAGACCAGAATGAAAATTATAATGTAAAATTACGTCCATGTCCCTACAAACGTGGCGAATAAAAAAATCTAAAAAACGTGTGGCAGCCCTGCATTGTGCCACACCAAACAAAACCAAACTTTCTCTTTCCGCTGAGAATTGGAACATTCTGTTCCTAATCCCCACATTCCGTCGGTGATGACTAGTTTTTAGTAATTATTCTAATAATATACCACATGATTTTTTTTCTTTTAATTCTATCGAAATTATATAAATCCTATTATTTTCAAAGATACTTCCATTATGATGTCATAATATACAAAAAATGCAAAGTGTATAATTTGACCCTTGAATGCCAAAGATTGTTTCTTGGCTGTGTTCTTCAGATTTAATCATTCTGATGTTACCCATTTAGAGAATGTGCGCAATGAGATTAAAAACAGAAACATCAGAAAACACTGGGGTAAGGTTACCTCAAGGTCCTGGGAGGCAAAATACTCGTCTCTATTGTAATCTGCCATCTCAATGTTCCCTGTGCAAGCAACAAACGATCAGGCTTTATTCAGAACAAAACAAAACCGCAGGGAAGCTTCACCTAAAATTCAATTCTGTGATTAGGAGATATCCCAGAAAGACAACCTCGGAAACAGATGAGCAGAAAAAAAGAAGCAGCGAGAGGGAATTAAAAATCTCAGAAAGAACAGAGCAAAAGCAGAGCAGAACAGAGCAGTCCCGATGAAGGAAGGAATAAACAATATCAGGAAGTGAACACCTTTTATAAGGGCGGAGAGAAATTTGAGAACCCAGAAAAGATAAGGAAAAAGAGAAGAAGCATAAAGAAAGGATCTTGATAATTACCTTGGAGTTAGAGGAAGGAATCTGAGATGCAGAGAAAGAGGAAGAAAGTGAAAGAAAGGAGAAAGGAGAAAGGAGGGGGGAAGTTGAGTGAGAGGGTAAGACAAGAATATGAAAGTATTAAGTAGCTATTGAGAAATGGTAAGAGACTTACATGATATTAATATGCATGGTAAATAATTAACAAAGGATATTATCGAGAAAAATCCAATCTTGCAAACATTTGAGGAGTTAGGTGGAGGATTTCCAATGGATAACGGACTCCTCTAATTCTACTCTTAATTATTATTACTATTATTTTAAGATTTTTTGTTTGTAAGTGGGAGGGAGAAAAGTGAAGGTGGAATTGAAAAAAAAGCAGAGGGAAGGGGTAAAAGGGGGAAGAAGGAATGGGATTGGAGGAAAGATGAAAAGAGCCGTTAGAATATCAACATCGGTTGGTCCATGGCTTAGCCTGCACCGTACATCCTCACACATGCCAATCATCCTCATTACCGACACTTCCAAGTTCCCCCCTCCCTCCTCCTCATTCTTTCTCTTTTTTTCTTTTTTTCCTTCCTAATACTTCATCTAATCTTTAATATCAAATTTAGATAATTAATTTATTAATATTAAAAAATTATTAGAAAAATGACAGAAAAAGATTTAAAAATTACAAATCCCAAATCAGATTTGGTAACACAACTTTATTTGATATTGACAAATCTGAATTTGCAAATGACAATAAATTTTTATTGACATTTTTTATTTGGTATTTACAAAATTCCAACTTCTTTGTTTGTCATTGCTCCAAAATTATTTTAAGTAAGTTATTTAAAATTTTAGTTTTTTAAAATATTCTTTCTAATTATATGTATCATACTATCATTTGAATTTCATTTGTTACGTACAATGAGTAGGAATATTTTCAAAAAGAATTATAAATTTAGAAGATGAAATAAATTTAGTTTTCATATTTACAGGCAAAGAAAACTTTTGTTCTGACTCTTATATTTAAAATTATATATAATATTTAAAGCAACAAATAGTAATAGTATTATAAGGAGTTTTCATGACATTATTCATTTTCTTTTTAAGACATCCACACACTTCTAACTGTACTAAATACAATATTTGGGGTTTACAATCTAAGACTATTAAAAAATTAAATGTTGTGATTTAAAAAAATAATTTAATAAAAATACTATTGCTCGAATTATTTTGGCCTCCCTTCTGGCATCCCCCGCGCATTCGCTCGTTCAGAAGTCACAAGGTATTTACTTTTGAGTAAATATTCGGTTGGCGGATGTACTTGTGTGCGTTTTATTTCAATTATTTACAGCATGCAATAATGGCAGGCGGAGCATGTGTTTTGCGTGTGGCATTATGATTTTGCCCCCATGAACTTCACATATTTACATGTCCCGAATGATTACTGGCTACTGGGTCATGTTATTCGTACTTGATCTGCCCCCATCATTGATTCCCTCTGTGTTTTTAATTATTTAATTTGATATTTATACTTTGGCTTCTGACGAGTTGGATTAAAAGTTTCTGTTTAAAATTTTATTTAATTAAAAAACCTAAATTTAAACTCTTATAATTATAATTTATTAGTATAATTTTTTTCTGTTATGTATATTATATCATTAATGATGTGTAACAATGACCAATACAAAAATCTTGTATATATAATAAAAAATATATTGTACACAACAGAAGATATGTTTTGTAGACACTTAAATCTAGGTCATTTTAACCAATTAAATTTCTAAATAGAGACATTTTACCAAAATATCCCTTAACTTTTTTCTGCACAGGAGATTTCCTGATTTTAAGATATTTTTAATTTGATGTTTGGTTCGATGTATGGTTTTGATGGAAATTGATTATGTGCTGTAAAAGTGTCCGATGTACAAATGTACTTTTGTTTTAAATCTTGACTTTATTCTATGTTATTGATATCTTCTTATACTACCAATTAAGCATATACCTTGAACATACCTTCGTGTTTAAAACAATTTAAGAAATCAATAACAATACAAATTTGACTTTTATCAACTACATAAATTAAAACCAACTGGACGAATCTCCTAAATTTATATGAGTTGTAAAATAAGTTATTCTATTTCCTAATATTACAACTCCTTATACATTTTACATTTAAAATATTGATTTTATTTCAATTTATTTTTAGAACTGAAAACCTGATTCTTCAAGAACTCAAAAAAAAAAGTACAAAATTATACATCTGGTACTTTAATTTTATACTAAAGTTTTAATTTAATCCCTTCATTTTAAAATAACAATTATTATTATTTTGAAAAATAAAGTTAACATGTCAACATGTGAGAACGTTTTGCCAATATCAAAATTTCAATATCAGTATTTTTTTCTATTAATGGTCATTAGAAACAAAAATCGAAAAGACACTTTATAAAAGTCAAGGGATCAATATGAGATTCGGTGTATTTTTTTAATCGAAAAAGACGATTCTTTAGACTTTTAATATAAAAATTATTTAAGTAATTTAATTGTATTAAGAAAGTTGAGTAAATAGTTAATTATAAAAAATATGATATGTTAGTCAATTATAAAAAAAATGATATGTTTTTCTTAAAATATCAGAATCATCTTTGGTAATATCATCCCTCCATCTCCTATTTGATTATAATTGAAGAAGTATCAATAAAGATAATTATAAGAAATAATTCTTATATTTAAGACTAAAATTAATTTAATAATTATATCTTCTATTAAAGATTGGACGAATATAATTTGTTGATTGTATCGTGATCAATAGATATCAGAATCAGCATGAAGCTTACTATCATCCACAGATTTGTTGTTATATTTTATTTATGTCATAATTACGAGGTTGAAAAGACAAAACGCAGTGAAGAACACATGGTCCGCCTCCATTTACCTATTTTTTGAAGCTGGATACAGGCCAAGAAGATGACCGACACTAAAAACAGAACTTGGCCCTTGCGGAGGGGGAAAAAAACAAAGAACATACCAAAATTGTTTTCCATAAGAGAATTTCACCTTCTTAATTATTTAAGTAATAATTAATCAGTTCTATATAAATCTCCCAACTCTGGAATTACAATGGAAAAAAAATGCTCCTGACCAGAAAAAGATGCATATAAAAAGGCTTTAATTTATAATATCTGGAGATATTTAGGCCGACATCAAACACGTCAAATTTGTCAGATAAATTATTCATCATTTCGAATGAAAAGATTTCAAACTCTGAAAGATAGTTAGTTTTGGTTGGCCATCTATCGTAACCCTATCAACTGCTGCCAACTGGGCATGTTGCCGCCATAACCCTATCTTCATTCCTGCCCCTCTTATCTAACGTAGCCATCAAATAATTGAGATAGAAACACAGAGAGAAGGGGGAAAATAATATTCAAAGTGGCCAACTAACAACACACTTGAAGCAAACTATAACCATATATATTCATTCCGAATATATCAAACACTTTCAATATCTTACAGTACAGAGATAAGATGAGAGATTATTAACACGCTGATTATATCTTGGTGTGTGCGAGACAAGTGCGGGGGGACAATTGAAAGCATAAAATTTAGGAAAAATCACACACAGATCTCACAAAAGACAATTAATTCAAAAAAAGTCCCTGAAAATCCCGAAATGATTCCTAAGTCCCCAGGGACCTGTGTGTGATAAATTACAATTGTGAAATTACCTATTTAGCCCTATTAATTTTATTGCAGCAATTCATTTACACTCTTAACAGTGACTGTTGACAACCCAAAGAGAAGTGGTTAACAACCTCGGTAGCGTTCCTAACAACTCACTTTGTAGGATACCAATGGCATTGCCGAGATTGTTAACCACTTCTCCTCGGATTGTCATTAGCCACTGTTGAAGTTTTAAATGAATTGTATTGGGTTCAAATAGGTAATTTCATAATTACAATTTATTACACACAGGTCCCTGGGGATTTAGGAATCATTTCGGGATTTTCAGAAACTTTTTCTAAATTAATTATCTTCTGTAGGAGCTGAGTGTAATTTTTCCTAAAATTTAAAGGGTCAAAATACTTATTTCACCTTGATCATACTTCACATGAATGGCTGGGGTTTTCAAATTAGCCAGGGAAGTTTAAATGTCCAAGAATAAGGGCACAAGATAGGCCAGAAAAAGACCTAGCCTTGTTAATTTGTCAGGTCTTTGGCATACACAAGTGCAATTGAAATGGACCATAGCTTCAACTTGATTTCAAAATAATCAATCAATACCTCAATACATCAACTTGCCAATAATGCAATTTGTTGCATCATTATTGGCTTCCAAACTTATTTAGACTCTTTCCAACCCCTATTTTACATTTGCAGTAAAAATACTTTGACTTGCACACTTCACCTACATAACAGCACTTGTCCCCAAATTTTCTTTTTTTCCTGGACATCGTAGTCAGACCATCTTACAAATTGCCACCTATAATAATACTCTATGCTACACTTGAGAATGACATTTATTTTTTGGCTTCTCAAATTAGGAATGACAGGCAAGAACTTAGCTACATCTATCAACAGTTTGGGTTGACAAATATAATCATTTTTTGTTTTAAGGTTTGATTTCTTGGGAAGTTTGGACGGAAATGGAATGTTTGAGATCACCGATGTGAAGCTCGTGGTCGCCCATTGGGATTCTTCGAACCCCAAACTCGTCCACGACACTGAGGTGGTCGCACACATGAACACCAACCTTAACTCGTTGCTTGGACCCAGCAGGCACATGAACCTTATGGAACCCTACCAACTGCTTCGTGTCGGACCATTTTCCAGAAGGTGGCTTTGAGTATACGAGAACTGTGTGGGTGCCGTCCATTTTACCTTCGTTCTTCACATCGACGTGGAGTCCTAATTCCAGGGAATCACAATTCGCGTGGCTGACCTTTAATGCATTGCTTGAAACGCTGCTGGAGTTTGTGAGAGCCTGGAGGCTGGCTAAAGGAACAGAGACTTGTTTGGGAGCAAGGGCTAGGGTGTGCCTGAATCTGGTGTAGCTCAGCCCATGGCCGAAAGGGAACACCACCGGACCCTTGTAGAATCTGTAGGTCCTTCCCGGGTACCCTCTTGCTGGGTTTGGTCTCATGTCCATTACTGTCATTGGCACTTTGGCCACATACTCCTGTGGGTACCATGTCATCGGAAGCTTTCCTCCTACATTAATCATAGTAAAAATAT